CAATCCCAGCCTTCCCTTTGTGGTATGGTACCTTGCAGTACAATTTCAGAGAGATCCATACACTCGAACAAAAGTTATTGTCTGGAAACTAGAAAAATGTGTTTTTTGGCCCCTTTTTGGCCCCAAATTCCTAAACGTTTAGAGCAATTACCCCAAAACTCAAACCCAGCTTTCCCTTTGTGATATGGAACCTTGTAGTACAATTTCAGAAAGATCCATACACTTACACACAAGTTATTGTCCTGAAACTAGAAAAATGCTTGTTTTTTGCCCCTTTTTGGCCCCTAATTCCTAAAATATTGAGGCGATTACCCTTATCACCAATCCCAGCCTTCCCTTTGTGGTATGGTACCTTGCAGTACAATTTCAGAGAGATCCATACACTTGAACACACGTTATTGTCTTGAAACTAAAAAAATGCTTATTTTTGGCCCCTTTTTGGCCCCCAATTCCTAAACGTTTCGGCAATTACCCCCAAACTCAATTCCAGCTTTCCCTTTGTGATATGGAACCTTGTAGTACAATTTCAGAAAGATCCATACACTTACACACAAGTTATTGTCATGAAACTAGAAAAATGCTTGTTTTTTGCCCCTTTTTTGGCCCCTAATTCCTAAAAGTTTGAGGCAATTACCCCCAAAATCAATCCCAGCATTCCTTTTGTGATATGGAACCTTGTGGTACAATGTCAGAGAGATCCATACACTAACACACAAGTTATGTCTGGAAGTTACAAAAATGCTTATTTTTGGCCCCTTTTTGGCCCCTAATTCCTTTACTGTTGGTACCATAACCCCCAAAATCAATCCCAACCTTCCTTTTGTGGTATTGAACCTTGTGGTAAAATTTCATAGAGATCCATTCACTTAAACTAAAGTTAGAGTGCGAAAACCAATGTGTCTTCGGACGACGCAGGACGACGCCGGACGACGACGACGACGACGACGACGACGACGCCAACGTCATACCAATATACGACCACAAAAATTTTTTTGCGGTCGTATAAAAATAAAAAACGAATGAATCTGAAGATTGAGATTAGATATTGCTTCCCGATAGCCCTGTGTCAAGTATTTAACAAAAAGGCAATGTCTAATGTATACGTCAAATAAATAAAACATTGAAGAGAACCCAATCTGTCTTCTCTTTTAAAGAAAGGATTCGGTAAATCAAACAACATTTCTCAATTAGAGAAGTTTATATAACTTTAAGCAAAAGCAAAGTTTATGCATCAGCTTGGGGATCGACTTGTACGATTGTGTATGTAACTGTTTGTTATTATACAGGTTGGAAGACTAGTTAAGATCACAGTCAATTGAAAAAATGCTTATTACTGCTGATTAATGTTGATGGTACTTAATTCTGTTAGATACGTTTTAATTATAATTATGCATACAAAATAGTCTTGAAAACTTGTAATAAAAACAAAATCAACATTATTGTTTTCAAGCTGCATAATCATCCGTATTCATTAAAGGCTTTACATTGATTTGAATTCAAATATTTTAAATCAAAATAATATTATATATCTATATGAAATTTTAATACGAATAATCATGATAATTGACTTATTTAAAAAAAAAATCAATACATGTCTGAGGGGGGTCGAACCTTTAACGGTACTCCGGAATCGGGTGTTTTTAAGCTCGGGATTTCTGGATTGATCCTTTTGGGATCCAGGAATTCTTTTTTGAATTTCAGGATGTCAGGATTTAAATTTCTTTAAATTCGGGACCTCAGGATTTCAAGTTTTTAAGCCCAGGTTTTCAGGATCAGGACCCCTCCAACCCCCCTCATGTCTCATCTAATGAAAATTAAATATTTAAATATTCGTCAAAGGCACAATTTTTAACCGTCCACCTTTTATATACTTTTATACATATACATGTATTCATAAACGTTTATGTATTACAATTCATATATATTTATATATTTATAAATTGGGGCCGGATCAACATGGGGCAGATCGATATGAAAGCTTTATAAAAATTGATGGCTTACATGAAAGTCTAATCCCGAATAAATAAACACTGACAGTACAATAACTGGACAGGCAATCTTAAGAACAAAAGTTTTAAGCCTAAACATAGATCTTGATTCTAGAATTGAGACAAATTAAGTCTTACAAAAAGTACCTGAAGTTGTATACACTAGAAGTTTTACTTCCAACCCGGATCCAGTTGTAACTTGTAAGGATTCAGTTGTAAGAAGAAGCAGAGTTCTGAGAATGAGGTCAGAAAGTTTAAAATTTGCTTATGAGGAAACACTAACTCTTCATTGAGAAACTGAACAGTTTATATCCTGATTCGGATCTTTGCTATAGTTTTACCAACACCCAATACACTACATGGGCGTGTTTTTTTGTTCTTGGGTAGTGAGCCAGAAGAGGTCTATTTCTGTTTTTTTGCATAGGGAAGATCTTCTGGATCTCTTCCACCTCTTCTTTTTTGATAGGTAGTTTAGACGGCAGAGGCACATAACAAACATGGCGTCGTTTAGTCTAAATGCCATTAATAAATTTATGAATGCAGATATATTAGAATGTGAGCTGTGTTATAAACGTTTTTATGGTATGACAGTCTTAGTAGGACATCCCTGTAGGACGATGAGCTGAATAAATATAAGAACTACACGAACAATAACAGTTAAGGGACGACTATTTGATATTCTAGGGAAGGGATTTTGATTGATTGGTGTTTAGCGCTACTTTCAACACTTAGTTGGGCTATTCCGTGGTGGCAGTTTAAATTTATAGATGAAGAATGGGGAAGAGAAGAGGGCATTATTAATTTTTTTAATCTGTCGCTAATTATGCCTATTTTTCAGCTCTTACCAGCCAACCATATTCATATATGAAATCCTCTTGCCCCCACCCCAATAAATGAATGAATATCAAATGGTTTTTCTTCTTATTTAACACAAGTTTAAATTGATTGGTTGTTTGTTGCTAATTTTTAACGCCCAGTGACAAATAAGTCATGCATGTTCAGGATTCCATAATGTCATTATTATCATTTTTTTTTCAGAAGATGTGTCTTCCTGAATAAAAATATTATCATGGACTGCATACCTATAGTTTTATCTACTCACAAGGTCTACATTGATTATCGACTGCACGTTATGAAAACATGGTTTAAACTACATTTCGATATTGGTTTGAATCGATACGAATGTAGTTAATGCAAAAATAAGGAGATGGGGTATGATTGCCAATGAAGCAACTATCCACCAAAATTCAAATATGAAGTGGATGTAAGCAATTATAGGCAACCGTAATTAAGGCCTTTAACACTGACAAAACCCGATACTGTCAAAAGACCCGACGTGAAAAGTGTGAGAAACAATTCAAACGAAAAAACTTACGGCCTAATTATACATGACAAAATAATTTACAAAATATCAAATATGAGTCGAGACATGAACCAACGACAACAACTAAACTACAGGCTCCTGACTTGGGACAGACACACAAAGAATATGGCAGGGTTAATATAAAAACGAAGATTGCCAATGAGACAACCCTCCACAAGAGACCAAATGACACAGCAATTAACAGCTATAGGTCACCGTACGGCCTTCAACAATAAGCAAAGCCCATACCGCATAGTCAGCTATAAAAGGCCCCAAAATCACAAATGTAAAACAATTCAAACGAGAAAACTAACGGTCTAATTAATGTACAAAAAAATGAACGAAAAACAAATATGTAACACAGCAACAAACGAAAATCACTGAATTACAGGCTCTTAACTTGGGACAGGCACATACATTCAGAATGTGGCGAGGTTAAACATGTTAGCGGGATCCGGCCCAACCAGCCCCTATCCTGGGACAGTGGTGTAACAGTTCAATAACATGTTTGTGAGCGCTCAACCCTCGCCGAAGCTTGAACAGAGGTGTAACAGTACAATATAAGAACAACCTGCACAAATCTATTGCAATTAGAGTAACTCAAAAGATCGGTACGAGACACACAAAAAAACTTACATTAAGACAAAGACACAAAGCACCGAAATAAGAGTATTTGCAATTACTGGAAGTTTGTTCAAAGCTAATTACAACTATGGTACTGAAATAAATCTTGTTCTCCCAGACTGAAGTATCAATCAGTACACAACCAACGGATTTATTAAAAAAAAAAAAAGAAGAAAAAACAGTCTGAGAAATGTCTGGTATACATTGTATACTTGCATATACTAGATCCATATACAATGAAAATTTTTGAAAAGTGGTGGTCCGAAGGTTTTGACCATCGAAATTATGCAATAGAAATAATAGATAAGACCAGAAGATTTTCTTCAAGGACCACCAGAGAAAAATGATTTTGAGAACTTTCCGATATCTTTGCTTTATACAAAAATAATCCAGTTTGGTTACTTTAAAAAAATTGGATAGACAAGATGTCCTTTTTGGTCACGAATTTTTGTGCAGTTTAAGATTATTCTTAAAATCAAATAGTGGGGGTTTACGCCTGATTTGTCTAGCAAAATTGAGTTAGAAGAAAGAAAAAAGAAAAATGTCACGAACAGAGCACACTTTTACAGTCATGTATACCGGACTTATCTTAATTTTCTATATAATCATCGTAAACTTCATTTAATATGTCATCCAACATAAAAAAAATCTGCTATATTCGACGGCAAATTGAATTTTTGTTTTATTGATCTTCCGTAGAATATCTCCAGAAGAGGTCCAGATTCATTTTTTTGGACTCTTCACCAGAAGACATTCTGGAGATGTGCAGAAGAGACCAATAAAACACGCCCCATGTCAATAAAACATATGTTCCAAGATTGCAACAGGTGACATAAACAACTAACCACAACCAGTTTCGAACTTTTAGCGTCGCTTTTTTTAAAGATAGGAGTTGAAACAACTTAAAGTAAAAATATTTATAACATTGGTTCATTTTTATCAATACAATCTATATCTTTTTATTCCAGTTGTTCTTTCTGAATAATATGCGAAAACAATTAGTCACCTGACTTTTCCCGATCTCATATGACTTCCGGGAGGGCAGTTCCAAAAAAATATATTTTTATGTTTTCTAAATAATTGTTTAGTAATGCATCATGTTTTTCAGTGCTGAAGATGACGATCAAGATTTTGCGTCTGGAGGGTCTAAGTTAGCTCAATTTTGAAAATCTATGTGCATATACATGTAAAGAGAAAAAGAAGAACATGTCAAATTCTATTGCTTACAATTATTTGTAAATTTTATTATGCACCCAAAAAATCCAGCATCCAGTGAGAGTTTTATACACAGAGACTTAATAAATGTTTGATATTCAGTGAAAAAGTTACATGCTTAATGTAATATGAGACAGGTCCTACCTGATCCTGATGTCAAAACATTGACACAACTTGTCACTTTAGACTATTTGTTTCATCTGGTACATTTTTTGTACTCTATTTCTCTAAGTAGTATCTAGCGGTACTTGGGTAAACCTTTTTTAGTACAGGATTCAGGGACTACTTGCTCTCAAAATTGCCCTGTACTCTATTTAATATGTGCTGTTCTGTCATAGATCTCTTTCTTTGAAGGTGCCAGAAGTGTTGCCATATAAAAATAAGAAGATGTGGTATGATTACCAATGAGACAACTCTGCACCAGAGACCAAATGACGTAGAAGTAAACAACTAGAGGTCACCATGTCTGTTCGGGTGTTCCATGTCTCCAACTGTCTTCTCATTTCATTTCTTTCTTGTTGGTATCTTTACCTTGTACAGTTGAGTAAGAAGTGTTCTGTCTGTTCGGGTGTTCCATGTCTCCAACTGTCTTCTCATTTCATTTCTTTCTTGTTGGTATCTTTAACTTGTACAGTTGAGTAAGAAGTGTTCTGTATTTTCTTCTTCATCACAATTGCAATATGTCGTGAGAGATTGGCCTACAGTGGATTCATTTTTATTCGTGGTATACCAATTTTCATGGGTCACAGCGAACCACGAATTTAAGAATTCAACGAAGAATAATCCCGAGAAATGTGTATGGAGTCAGATGTTTTTTTCCGGTTATGTTATGTAGTTCTAGTATAGTGTTGACTAGCGATAAATATTGTAACATAACACGTGTTTTTATTGAAAGAAGATACAAGTATTTTGATTAAATCAATAATAATAATAAATATATCGAATATCAGTGATAATTTACTTTTTTAAAATTGATTAAAACTGTTTATGGAAAATAACTGCAAGTTGTTAATTACCGTGTCATAGTTTGGTTCACTTGCGATTAAAAATCAATAGGATTAAGTACGGAGATATTGCCCGTAGGTAATATTGTTTATGACAGGAACATTCATTTTCACACCTTTTACTTATATGACTGTTTATTATATCGTGATTAGGGAAATGAGCTTTCAATCATAGAGTTTTGAATGCTTTATAAAATTCCGACAGGAATTTATAAATTGTAAAACAAACAAATAATTAGTTGTCTGTTCATTATTGTAAAAGAAGTTTTCAATGAACACTTTAACCTAGAATGACCAAGCGAGGATTTTGACAATTCAAAACTTTTTCAATGAATTCCTTCTTTTTTGTTTGTTTTATTATTGATCAAACCAAGGAGGTTATATGATCTCCTAAATCAAAAAGAAATCCACGAATTGCGTATCTGATTTTTTTTTTTTTTGTAATCGGCGATCCACGAATTTACATATACCACGAAACATCTTTTTTTCTCTATCCACGAAAATTGATACCCACGAAAATAAATGAATCCACAGTATTTTATTTTATGAATGAGTTATTGACTTCATTGAAAAACAGAATGTTAGAGTAAAAATTACCGAAAGTTTAAGAAAATATGTCATAAAACCGTCAAGAGTATAAATTGAATAAGTTATTCAGAGAGAATAACATCCATGTGTTATTATGGATGCTTTCATGAGTTGTCTACTCAATATTCCTCAAATGTCCTTAATCTATAGGAACATAATTATGTTTGTTATTCATGTTATTTGTTAAAACAAATCTTTAAAATTTAATATTTTACTTTTTATTGGGAACTCGGGAATTCTTGAACATTCGTGCAGAGACTTAAAACATAGACTGGATAATTCATTTTCCAATTAAATAAAATCTTTTTTGATCAACCATGGTAAATCAATGAGACAAGGCTTTTAAATGATAAACTTACCTGTTTTAGATGAATGTTTACTGCCCCTTTGAAACATGTATATTATTTTTCTCTAATAACTTATTAAAGTTAAACACTGACTTGACTGTAAAAAGTTGTTTCTTAGAAATGACATACAACCAATCTGTAAAGTCAATGCTTTAAAGACCCATTGTGGCCTTCGGCTGTTATCTGCTCTTTGGTGGGGTTGTTGTCTCTTTGACATATTCCCCATTTCCATTCTCAATTTTATTTCACCTCTTTTCTAAAGAAATAAATTGTTTATCATGTTTATGTCTAGGTAACAATTTAAAAATTGCTGATGACGACTGCATATCGCTTTTGACCGTCTGGAAATGCAAAGTGACAGACATGAGATAGCAATACACAGTTAGGAGTTTGGTTTCACATTTTGGCCACGATGAATTTTTCAAATATGATAGTTATTGTGCAATAAAATTAATTTTTAGATAGCTGAAGAATAATATAGCCTAAGAAAATTAGCCTTCAAAGTGGGTTTATATGAATATCAAGATTGTTCTTTGCATGTTTTATGGGACATTTTCTATTTGACAGTCCATATTTTCACATCCGGTATGACCATAGGTCCAGAAACTATTGCAATGTTTCCCAACAAATTTTTTACGCTTGAACTTTTCAATTAAATTTTATGAAAATTGAGGTGAAATTCATATAGCTTAATGCTTTTTATTGGATCTGTTGATACATAAATGTCAATGGTTTTAGTAAAGGTATCATACAAATGGATCAAATTTCTACATTGGACCAAATTTTGGGGACATTTGTGACATTTTCACGGTATTTCACCCCCCTTTTATGGAATATTTTGTATCAAATAATGTAGATTGTTGCCATGGTTACACCAAAAAGAGATTATATTTCATTCTTAACTCTTATCTGCAGGTCAGTAAACAGTATTCATGCTTTGACCTCTTCAATACATTGCTAAATGCTGTGTGCTTAGCAAAGAAACTGAAAATACAAATTTTACTGCCTGGCATCGGATGGAACATGTTGACTCCAATATAATTTTTCTATGCTGCATGCACAACAAGACCACTCAGCTGGGAGCCCCAATATTATTTCACAGTTTGCAATAGAGAATTAGGAATAATAGTTGACAACTTTTTTTTCAGATCTAGGTTAGCCAATTTATTTGGTATAGATAAGCAGAGTTCCCAAGGTGGTAATGAATCATTAACTTATACAGCACCAAAGCAGCCAAGGCCAAAAGGTATTTTGAAATTGACATTTAAGAAGGGTTTCCCTTGGGCACAATTTCTTTTTTGCCACCTATTTTACAAAAACTATATTTTATTCACCACTTTCAATTATTATAAAATGAAGAAGGTGTGGTATGATTGCCAATGAGACAACTTCCCACCAGAGACGAAATGACATAGAAGTTAACAGCTATAGGTCATTGTATGGCCTTCAACAATTAGCAAAACCCATACTGCATAGTCAGCTATAAAAGGGCCTGGATTGCATTGACAAATGTAAAACAATTCAAACGAGAAAGCTAACATCCTGGTTTATGTACAAAACAAAAAACGAAAAACAAATATGATATACAGCAAAAAACAACCATGGAAATACAGGCTCCTGACTTGGGACAGGCACATACAGAATGTGGCGGGGTTAAACTAGTTACTGCCATAAAAAATATTTGTTTTGAAGTGGATTAAATTGTTAAAACATAAAACTATGTTAAAACAGGAGTGCAAAACCATTGTGAAGTACCCACTTCAAAACAATTATTTTTTATGACAGTAAAAACAACTCGCTTAAAAAAACATGTCAAATGACATATGAACTTGAAGTGGTTTTATCACAAAATCTTATTAAACCACACAATGAACAGGCAGAATCAATTTGCGCCATTTACAGTTTTGAAAAGGTATCAATTGCGCCACTCTTTATTTTTCTGATGGTATTAATTGTGCCAATAAATGGAATCAAATTGCGCCACGTTAACCTGTTTATTTTTTACCTATATCATACATGTAACATGTACTATTATAGTTAACCTATCCACTTAAGAATAACACTCATCAAAATTAAGAAAACTCACCAATAAATAAATTGTTCAGTAATAGAATAGTTTTTCACATTAAAAGTGGGGGCCTCGGTGGCCGAGTGGTCTAAGTAGTTACTACTGTAATCACTAGCCAGTCAACACTAAGGTTGTGAGTTCGAACCCCACTCGTTCGGGTGCACTTGACTCCAGTCTTAATTGACTAGGATTGTCAGTTTTCCTATCGTAGGTCAGTGGTTTTCTCTGGGCGCTCCGGCTTCCTCCACCAATAAAAACTGGCGGCCACGAAATAGCCCAAAAGCGGTGCTTAAAAGTGGCGTTAAAACACCAAAAATCAATCAATCACATTAAAAGATGTCTGATATAACGTTCCAGAAAATAGAGTCCGATATAAGAAAACTTGTCATCGTTGTGGAAGAACACAAATTCCGTCAGGCATTTGTTAAGAAAAATGGAGAAATTATATGGAGATGTACAGTTAAATTGTGTTGTGCTAGGCTATTTACAGATGAATCTTATACAGTTATTTTAAGTGGGGAATTAGTCAATTAGATCATATACATGAAACTAATGCAAACGAAAAGTAACTGATATGTTATCTGAGCTACCTTCTAAAATAATTAATGCAGAGCTCTTCAAAATTGACAAAGAACATTTAAAAAAGAAAGATTTGAAATATGTTCGTCAATCTATGTACATAGAAACTGCCGGTCCCAAGCTCAGATAAAGGAGGAGGGAAGTCAATCATGTATTTGATATATAATGTAATAATAATTAATTTCATAAAATTGAGCAATTAGATGATTTTTTATTGACGCAAATGATACCTATAGTTTTTAAAATGAAGTGGCCCAGAAGTAGCATTGGCGCAAATAAGTTGTGGCGCAAATGAGTTCATTTTTGGCGCTAAAAGATATCTATTAATTGCCAACAGCTATCCTTTTACAATCAACAGATTATTGATTTTCTGTCAAAATTGTAACATGTGACGAGTTCAAGTTAAAAATATAGTGTTTACTGATTATTGAAAAAGTCAGATAACCTGAATTAAATAAACTAAATGGAGTACGTTGAACCGTTATATTTCTTTCACAATAGCTTTTTGCCAACAATCAATTTTTTTTACTGCAAAATGCGATAATGCCAACCGCCAGCATAAATCCTATATTTAAGATGAATTTCACTTATATGGATATGATTTTTACTGTTTGAATTTTAATATGGCAAATTAAAACTTGAAACATCTTGTCCTCAATTCTTATATCAAAACAGGTTTTCATTTCAAATCAATGTGATCCCATAGGATTGATATTGATTTTCCTTATAAGTCCATTTCAGCCAGCTTGCACGTCTGATTTGGATTTTCATTTTTAAAGCTGAAACAAAAAACCTTTTGGACTCTGTAGAGGATGTTTACTAGCACTAATATAGTGAACTTTTCACCACATTATTTTTTTGATAACCCATCAATTTTCTGTGTTCTTTTATTTGCACTCTTCTTTTTAAGATCTGCTTTTTTAGGGCCAAATGTAAAATTACAGAAATGGCATATGCTGTTGAGAATTGACTACCGTATGTTGACCATGATTCACCGGTACATGTATTTACAACATATGTATATCAATTGAGACATGTGAGAAGGGGAAAATAAATAATTTCGATGCTATATTCTAAGTAATTATAAAGTTCATTAAAGATTTTTTTTAATGAATATTATTTATTATGTATGAAAATGTGACATTATAGTATAGTCAAACTGTAAAACTGTTTGTATATATTTTTTCTTATTCACTGATTTTATGTTAATACATTTATGCATTATTTGTTTCAGAGCCAGCACCACAGACTGAAGGGGCACCTGGTGTATTATTTGCATCTGCAGTAAATGCTTATAAATAGTGAGTTTAGTCATTCTTATCTGCCATAGGACATTGGCAAAAAAACATTTGGACTAATAACAAGTACTCTTTTTGCTGAATCAAATGTCCTGTTATATTTGAATGCTTTCAGAATATTATCTTTGAGAGTCCAGTAAAAAGTTGGACTGATGACAATTAAAAATATAGTTTGCAGTTTTCATGATGTCATTTTCTTATTCACTTTTATTGGGTAAAGATTGCATGAAATGCAATCAAAACCCTATGGTACTGTCTTTATATCTATATCTTCCAAGGCTTAACACTACTTTTGATATACACAAAATATAGTGCATAGATCATAACACTCTATACATCCTATCCATGAACATTTCCAGAAATTTATCAATGGAATATATGATCAGTTAATCATGTTACAAAATGATGTTATACTTGGCATGAAAATTACATAACTTGTGCAAGGTGCAGGAATCTAATATCTGTTCTAAAATATCAAAGTAATCTTTAAAATTGGAGTTATCTTCCTTTGTCCATAAGTGTAGTTGAATCAATTACAACCAATGCTTTATACAATATTAATGCAATGTTTAATTTTACTTCCCACTGATAAATTAAAGCAATCTTTATCCTTCAGTGCTTACAAGCACTTTGATTAATACATGAGCTTCAATTGGTTTATATAATCACTGTAAAGTGTACAGCAGGTAAAGTGAATAATTCTAATGTACACTTATAGTAGACACTATGAAACTCTCAAAAATCATATAAGATTACTGTCTTTAAGACATATGACACATTTTCATCCTTTGCAGTATAAAAATATATACTATAATGTAATAACGAAAATGAATAATTAAAAAACAGTTTTCATATGATACTAAAAATTTCAAATACAGTGGATTTATTTATTTTTGTGTGCACAAATTTTCTTGGATTAAGTTGAAATTATAGCATCAAATAAATTTAGAATTTCAGACATTTTCATTTTATTTATATGTTGTTTAAAAATTATCACAAGGTAAATATAATCACAGGTTTTGAACAGTTAACAAATTTACTACATTACAAGTGCAATCTGCTAACTTTAGAATTATGAATAAAAAAAAATATATTCGTTTAATTCTTTATACATTTGATTTTCAGTGTTGATGGAAAGTATGCTTCACAAGGTAAACTGGGAGCTGCTATACTGGCTAACCATACATCACTCGATGTAAGAATAAAAATCAATTTGTTTTGTTTACTGCAGCTATTATTTAAAGTAAATGTAAGAATGGAAATATTGTCTTTTGACTATTGTAACTATTTATAAAAATAGATAAAGGTGGTATGATTAGCAATGAGACAACTATCCATTAGAGTCAAATAACACAAATAGGTCACTGTATATAGTCAGCAATTATGAATAGAAGGTCCTGACATGACAAAATGTGAAACAATTCAAAAGAGAAAGCCAATGTCCTTTTTTATGGCAAAACAATAAACAATATTTGTTTAGATTTGGTGACAGTTTGTTTTTATCTGAATTTCACTTTTGGTTGAATAACATTTGTTTGTTTATCTTTTTATATAATTACACTTGGGCATGCCTGTCTTACCAAAGAGTTACTGGCCAATCTTTTCATTTCCTCTCATTCCTTCTGTCATAATTTTTTCAAAAGCTTATTTTTTTCCTAAAACTAATTAAAAAAAAATTGAGGTAAGGATTGATTCAGATAATGAGGATTATATAAATGCAATCAAAACAATATAGGTAACCTGTCTTTTTATGCTACAGTCATTCTGAAAGAAAAAAAAATGCACTCACAAAAATCTAAATAACTCAACTTGTAAACAAGATTTTTATATATTGGCAAAGTAATGCAAAGTGCGCATTTAATAATGTATTATAAATTACATTTTTAAAATTATGAAAAGTTTTGTTGAAAACAAAAGCAAATGAGTTCTGTAAATGAATTATTGTTTTCTAATTTTCAGTACAGGATTTTGTTGTATGTATCCAAGCAACAGCAGGTGACTAATGCTAAAATAACAACAGCATTCATATTTACCGTAAGTTATTAATACATTATTAGTTTAAAACCATTTTATCAACGAATTGATCAATGTTCGTCCAAGGGTATTTCAGTGTTACCTGATGCTGTTATTTTTTATTTTAAACCCTTACCTATCATAATGATGAAATCGCTGCCTTAAAATTCATTAACTAGATGATATTTGATACATTTTCTCTATGCAGGGTTACTTTTTTAAATTTCGGAGTCTGAAACAGGTTTTCTTTACTATGTATTGTTATTAACAACTCTAATGCTCACCTTTCTTGTTTTACTCAAATTTATGCAATTTGTTTGAAGATATCAACTGCTTATTTGTTGTTTTTTTTTAATACGGATCAGATTAACCTAGTTAATGTAGTGTGAAATGGTGAGTTCCAGATAGAGGTCACATTTCATTTTAGCAGGCATGACAGGCAAGGGTATTACTAAAATCCAGACACATCTAGTTTTAGCATTTGACAAGTATAAAACATGCAAATTCAATATATATCTTTTTTAATTACAGTGTTGACCACTTTGATAATTATTTGAATGAATGAAAGAACCCCTTTCACACACTAGTGAAAAAAAAAGACATCTAGAATTCCTCACATGGTGTCTAAAGATGAACAAGCTTTCAAACCATTTTTCAATCACCCTTGGCCCTTCTAGACAAACTTTGTATCAATTCAACAATAAGTTCCAAGTATAGATTGATATCAACACGAAACTCCTAAATTGACAATAGTACGAAGAAATTATTAATCAATGAAGATGTTCAATGAACATATGGCTCAGTTAAACTCATTGTGGAAGTACACAACCAGCTTCCTTTTAGAAAGACCAGCATAATAAAGGTAGAATTTTGTCAAAAAAGAAACAGAAGATTAGATTTAGACACCTTCCCTTAGATTTTTATGTATGTTTTAAAGGAACAATATCTGTAACTTTTGTGATATAAATACACTAAAAGTGTAGATAAGATAGACATTTTATTTGCAGGTACAGTCAAATAACTATGCAATTATATATGATGACAGTAGACTGACATGGTCCTTAAATTTTGATTCTGAACAAAATGTGCAACTGTTTGCTAAAAATGTAAGTACTTATAAATACTCATGAATAGAGATGAGATGTGATTTATAGAAGAATGATAATCTGTCCAGACATTCTAACCTGTAAAACATTGGTAAGGAAATATTGTAGCAGGGAAAAATAAATCTGAAATAATCTGACAAAAATTAGAGTTGTTGCTAATTTTTGCATATTATATAGCAGGGCTCACGCTAGCAGGCGACTGGGGCGAAAAAGTCGCTTTCAGGTCCGTCACTTCGCTTTGCCTGATCGTCAAAAGAGATATCTAGTTGCCCCGGTGTTCTAAATAATAGCTTGCAGTCGCTTTCGTCATTATGGTCATTGGCAATTTTCCATTTTACCAAGTCAATAAAACATCAATTTCTATACGACCGCAAAAAAAATTTTGTGGTCGTATATTGGTATGACGTTGGCGTTGTCGTCGTCGTCGTCGTCGTCGTCGTCGTCTGGCGTCGTCCGAAGACACATTGGTTTTCGCACTCTAACTTTAGTTTAAGTTAATGGATCTCTATGAAATTTTACCACAAGGTTCAATACCACAAAAGGAAGGTTGGGATTGATTTTGGGGGTTATGGTACCAACAGTAAAGGAATTAGGGACCAAAAAGGGGCCAAAAATAAGCATTTTTGTAACTTCCAGACATAACTTGTGTGTAAGTGTATGTATCTCTCTGACATTGTACCACAAGGTTCCATATCACAAAAGGAATGCTGTGATTGATTTTGGGATTAATTGCCTCAAAATTTTAGGAATTAGGGGCAAAAAACAAGCATTTTTCTAGTTTCATGACAATAACTTGTGTGTAAGTGTATGGATCTTTCTGAAATTGTACTACAAGGTTCCATATCACAAAGGGAAAGCTGGAATTGAGTTTGGGGGTAATTGCCGAAACATTTAGGAATTGGGGGCCAAAAAGGGGCCAAAAATAAGCATTTTTCTAGTTTCCAGACAATAACTTGTGTTCAAGTGTATGGATCTCTCTGAAATTGTACTGCAAGGTACCATACCACAAAGGGAAGGCTGGGATTGATGATGGGGGTAATTGCCTCAATATTTTAGGAATTAGGGGCCAAAAAGGGGCAAAAAACAAGCATTTTTCTAGTTTCAGGACAATAACTTGTGTGTAAGTGTAAGGATCTTTTTGAAATTGTACTACAAGGTTCCATATCACAAAGGGAAAGCTGGGTTTGAGTTTGGGGGTAATTGCCCTAAACGTTTAGGAATTTGGGGCCAAAAAGGGGCCAAAAAACACATTTTTCTAGTTTCCAGACAATAACTTGTGTTCAAGTGTATGGATCTGTCTGAAATTGTACTGCAAGGTACCATACCACAAAGGGAAGGCTGGGATTGAGTTTGGGGGTGATGAATCATAAGGGGGTTCAAAAAAATTGGGGGGGGGGATTTTTTTTTTTTCCTTTTTTTTTTCTTTTAAAATTTTCCATTTTAAGTTGGTTATTTCTGATTGATATTTAAAAACAAATAATAATGATATTGTAGGAGATACACACCAAACAGGATGTGTAAATTATTATATAATAAGTATTGTGCAATAGCAAGAAATTTTCAATTGCACAGTATTGCACAATAGCAAGAAATCTTCAATTGCACAGTATTGCGCAATAGCAGGAAATCTTCAATTGCACAGTATTGCGCAATAGCTAGAAATATCCAATAGCACAATATTGCGCAATAGCAAGAAATTGTCAATTGTACAGTATTGCGCAATAGCAAGAAATATTTAATTGCACAGTATTGTGCAAAAGAAGATACTTCGTATAAATTGCTTATTTCTTGACCAATTTCAATGGGGTTTTATTCTTGAATTCTTGGGGTTCTTTAATATGCTGAATCTAACCGTGTATTTAGTTTTTGGATTTTGGGCCCCGTTTTTAAATTGGTCTATATTGAGGTCCAAAGGGTCCAAAATTTAAACTTTGTTTGATTTCATCAAAAATTGAATTATTGGGGTTCTTTGATATGCCGAATCTAACCGTGTATTTAGATTCTTAATTTTTGGTTCCGTTTTCAAATTGGTCTACATTAAGGTCCAAAGGGTCCAAAATTAAACTTAGTTTGATTTTAACAAAAATTAAATTCTTAGGGTTCTTTGATATGCTGAATCTAAACATGTATTTAGATTTTTGATTATGGGCCCAGTTTTCAAGTTGGTCCAAATCGGGGTCCAAAATTAAACTTTGTTTGATTTCAACAAAAATTGAATATATGGGGTTCTTTGATATGCTGAATATAAAATGTATTTAGATTTTTTATTTTTGGGCCCCGTTATCAACTTTGTCCACATTGAGGTCAAAAGGGTCCAAAATTAAACTTTGTTTGATTTCATCAAAAATTGAATTCTTGGGGTTCTTTGATGTGCTGAATCTAACCATGTATTTAGATTTTGGATATTGGACCATAATAGGTGAATGTCCAATTTAAAATTTTTAAGTTCTTAGACCACATTCATTCTGTGTCAGAAACCTATGCTGTGTCAAATATTTAATCACAATCCAAATGCAAAGCTGTATCAAGCTTGAATGTTGTGTCCATACTTGCCCCAACTGTTCAGGGTTCGACCTCTGCGGTCATATCAAGCTGCGCCCTGCAGAGCATTTTATTCATTTATAAGTAAAGAAATTCAAAGACAGAAACGATTTATTTCTTTAGAAAAGCTTTGAAAGTCTTGACGTTACAGATTGTTCGTATGTTATTTGAAAGTAACAACTTTGATGAAGTGTTTTCTTTCACTCCCAGTAATATTGTTACTCGAGAGCGTATATCAAAACATTCTGATTTTCGGCAATATAAGTGTTTTTTCATTAGAACGTGATAAAAATTGCCTTTAGTAAATGTTTCATCCATTTATTGCATTGAAAGCGTCATATTCCTTTCCAAATCGCATGTCAAACATTGTTTATTTTCGTAATTTTTTTTTTCATCCGCCATTGAAATATTTGTACGAACCACGGATTGGAGGCGGGATTCATCGGAAGCAGATCAGCTATGACCGAAATCCGTATTCTTACGATAATAACTACAGATGCACCAATAGAACTGCTGACAGAAGAATAATGATCCCAATAGTTAAAATTTTGCATTCCACGCGCATAAAAAACTTTAGTTAGATCTCCTTGCTAAATGTTTATATTTCCATGTAAATGAGTTGTTTCAATTTATTGATTAAAGTTGCTTAACTTTGTTAAATTTATATATCTTTTTAATGAGAAACAAAGAATTTCATAAACATGATAAACAGATAGTAATTTGGTTGAATTTTAATTGATATATGATACTTTCATGATAATAAAATCAATTCGCAGAAAATTTTTTTTTAGGTAACCATTATTTCATTGACTGCTATTTTTTCCTGAAATTTGCAATCTATGTTAAGAGTGGCCCCACCATATCAAATTCTTTAAATCTAACCTATTTATTACAACATGACATGAAATGACACAAACTATCTCAAAAACACAAATTTATTTTGCTCTGATTGTCTGAAGTTAAAGCATACATCTTTAGAAGTAATGTTCAATTTGAACAAGTTCACTTATAAAATTAAGAATGGAAAGGAGGAATGTGTCAAAGCAACAACAACCCGACCAAAGAGCATAAAACAGCCCAAGGCCACAATGGGTCTTCAACACAGCAAGAAAATCCTGCACCCGGAGGTGTGCTTCAGCTGGCCCCTAAACAAAAATGTGTATAAGTTAAGAGAAAATGGATGTCTCACTGAACTCCGAAACAAATAAATGAACCAAAATTAAAAAAAACATACAAGACTAACAAAGGCCAGAGGTTCCTGACTTTGGACAGGCACAAAAATGCGGTGAGGTTAAACATGTTTTGTGAGATCTCAGCCTCCCCCTATACCTCTAGCCAATGTAGAAAAAACAAACACACAGCAATAAACACAGTCAAAATCAGTCAAAAAGAAGTCTTGAAACCAATGTTAGAATAGGTAACAGAAAAAACTAAGCAAAATGACAATGATAACATAAATTAACAAAGGACTACTAGCAATTACTGACATGCCAGCTCCAGACCTCAAGCAAACTGATATATGTTTTTGTAACAACATAATTGTGCTATGATATCAACAGCATTTAGAATAATTTTTATTTAAGTTGAAATTTATACCCAAACCAAAGCTCAATTAAATGATCTCTTTTTAAGTTCTTTTAGAGCAAGAACTAAAGTGTATGTGAAGAATTGCTAGTTTCTATAACAGATTTGACTAGAAAATATTTATTGTACTGAATCAGTTCCTCTTGCCAGGAAAACTACATATATTTCGTCCCCAAACTGAGGCCAGCATACTCTTCAATTACATTATTGTTATTCTAATAAATATTCTTCATTAAAAATCATTGTAAATAGTAAAATTGAGAATGGAAATGGGGAATGTGTCAAAGAGACAACAACCCGACCATAGAGCAGACAACAGCTGAAGGCCACCAATGGGTCTTCAATGCAGCGAGAAACTCCCGCACCCGGAGGCGTCCTTCAGCTGGCACCTAAACAAATAAGTATACTAGTTCAGTGATAATGGACGTCATACTAAACTCCAAATTATACACAGGAAACTAAAATTAAAAATGATGCAAGACAAACAAAGACATTGATCAAATTGTATCAAATTTAAATTCTCCCTTTTATTTTTAGGTTGCTCTTGCTAAAGCACTCAGTGCTGGATCTGCCTTGGAAACAGTTATATCCCAAGACTTGAATGTAGGGGAAGGTACCAGTGTAGAGACTGGTTCCTCAGTAGAGGTCAAATATACAGGCTGGTTACTTAGCAACAATACTTTTGGACAGGTGCTGAATTATTTATTTGTGTTTTTTTTATATACTGAACAGTACAGTACATCCACATTTTGATAAGTTTGTTGCTGAAAACTATTGGCATCTATCAATTTTAAGATATATAGAATCTAATTTTGACTGTTTTTATTATTATTATGAACTAGAGATTGCCTTGAAAGTGAGGTCAATATTTGTATGCATTCCAAGGCTTTTTCAATTAAAATGAATGTGAGAGAATAGGAAGAAAAAATTTATTTTTTAACATAGGTTACTTGTCATTTATGTTTCTTGTGATTGGATTTTGGATTTCTCTTCCTATTAAACCAACATATCCGATAGCACAACAAGTGTCTACACATGATAACATATGACGAACTACGAAAATACAACTAATTATTATAGCTATCACATATAGTACTTTTATTAATAATTCTTTATTTTTTTTAACACGTCTGTGTTGCTGTATGAAATCGTTAAAGTAAAAGGTTACGTATATGTTGAATATAGAATCATGATCCTTTGACCTCATTTAATTGTGAACATGTTTTGAATAGATCTAAATTACTTTTAAAGTGACATACAATATCTGAAGTTTGTTTTTATGGCTATTCCATTAAAATGGATGAGTGATGGAAGGGAATTTTTTTTAGGGGAAATAAGTTGTAGGTCATTTATGGTTGTATGTCCATTTGATGTATGCAAATTTAATCAAAGAAAGTACAGTAAGTTGGTTGTGAGTTGAATTATGAATAGCACTTTATGATTGCAGTGTTTGTTTTCAAGTTTTTCTATGTGTCCACAGACTATCATTAATTATATTAGAAAAATAAAAAGATAAGTTTTTATTTTTTACAGGAATTTGACAGCAATGCTAAGTCAGATAAAATGTTTCGTTTCCAGACAGGAAAAGGAAAAGTTATTAAGGTATAGAAGATTAATTAAAACTATATTGTGTATGGTTTCTTGTTTGGAAAAATCGAAGACAACAGATCAATATATTTGAGTCAGCTTGTTCAAAACCTTCTAACAAGACTATGCTTTGGATAGACATGTGAAAAACTGTGTGAAGATACCAAGGGAGCATTAAGATACCATAAGTCAATAACTTCAACACCATTATCAAAAGACAAGCAGACAATTAACAGTACACAAAACCTTCATCAATCAATTCACATTGTTATAATTTCCCTTGAAAATATTAACATTGTCTGCTGTCATTAAATGTAACATTGTAAAATGCTAGTATAACAGAAACAATATGAGTTATCATGAGAAAAGCATGCAATGGAGGTGATTCCTCCATAAATTTTTTAAAGTAAAATTGAGAACGGGAATGGGGAATATGTCAAAGAGACAACAACCCGACATAAGTGCAGAAAACAGTGTTTACTACATGTAATAAAAAGTCATGGAAGATTAGATTGTTGCATGATTTTCTGAAGCGCTTCTGTTGTCTTTAAGATCATTTCCACTTTATTATTTATTTCAGGGTTGGGATACAGGTGTTGTTGGTATGAAGAAAGGGACCAAGAGAATCCTGATTGTACCCCCTTCTCTTGGATATGGTAACAAAGGAGCAGGAAGTAAAATACCTCCAAATTCTACACTTATATTTGAAATCACCGTTATCAGAGTATGTTTTTAAAATATTATTTGTTGACCCATGCTATAAAGTTGCCATTGTTATGTTTTTTACCCTTTTTTTGTCATATTTGTTTTGCCACATGCATAGCAGCTTCATCATACCCAACACAAGACACTTTGTGAAGGTATAATGTGCTTGACCTGGAGCACAATTTTTTGGGGGAAGGGGATTTGTAAAAATAATCATATTAATTATTGTTGCCAGGATAGCTCCTTCATTTTTTATCAGGTACTCTTCCAATTTGAATGAAAATTCCCTCTTATCAAAACCTTAAATGAGTTTGATAATCATAAAAATCTTACATTGGGATGATTTATTCAGAAGGGGGATTTCTTAAAATATTCCATACAGCCTAGGCCTTAATTTTTAATCAGATCCTCTTCAAATTTATATGGAGGTTTCTGCTCATCAAATCCTTTAATTAATTCAATAATAATTAAAAAAAAATAAATGGTGGACCATTTTTGGGGAAGAGGGCTTTTAAAAATATATCACTTAATTTTCAAATAAAGATTCATACCTTTAAGTAAACAGAAAAAATACATGTTCCTGCCGGTCACTATAAGCTCTTCTCCTTTATTTAGGGGCATGAGAGCCTGCTCACTAAAGGTTCTTTCTTTTTTTATGTTTTGAGTTTATAACAAGTGTTGGTATTTTTTGGTGGGTTGTTAAGGTTTTTTTTTTTTCAACAGCTTTTTATGAGTTCCATGATATATGCAGTACCAGTTGTTCAGAATTTATCCTTATTTAGCAACATTAAATATGCTATAAAAATAGAATGAATAAGCAAAAAAGTTCAAAAGTGAAAGACAATCTTCCAGACGAAAAACAAATATGCATTATACTTGATAATATACAATTAAGTTTTTTTTTTAACATTTATTAATTATCATTTTAATTATAATTGTTAGATTAAAGGAGCTAAAGGGGCATCACCTAGCCCTTCTCCTATCCCAGATTCTACACCTAGTCCTGTCAATGATCAGGAGGAGCATACTGTTAAAGAAAGAACAAAGTCCATCTCTGATCAGTTGTCAACTACAGCGGTTAGTATATATAATAGCAATAGGTGAATTACAGTAAGATTTGAAAGCAGAGACAGTTGTTAAGAATTTTAAAAAATCAGGGAAACTTGCAGTTAATATTTGATGTTTTCTCCTATTTGGTAAGATAAGAAAAATTCTTATTTTTACATATTGAAAATAAAATAGATTATTCGATGCCAGTATATCTTGACAGTACAGATATAAGATAAACCATCAACTGTGTTAAAACCCTTAACACTGTGACACAGTACTAGTAGCTTGTTTACACCATTAGGAATCTAGTGGCACTTATATACTATTGCGATTTATTGAAAAGTATTTTTCAACAACAGTTTGAAATAATCACTTTGTTGTTGGCTCTTGGCAATAAAATTGTATGCAGGTTATTTCTTAATTGACATACATATTACAGATATTTTATATATTGGCATACATTTTGCAGATTATTTTGTATTTCTTAATTGGATTACATTTTACGATTAATTTGGCCTCTAAATAATAAATACGTTTAATTCTTACATTTTTTTCTTGTAATAACCCTTTAGACTGGTAAATCTGGGAAAGCAAGACTTATATCTAAGATGGCAAAGATGGGTCAACCAATTCTACCAATGATGGGTGGTGCCACACCCGTTGAAATTGAGGATGATAGTGGAGAGGAGGAGGAAGGCTCTATTGTAAGTACAACTTACAATTACGATGTCGCTGTAGATGCCTAGAAGAAATGAGGTCTTTATAAAATTAATCAAATTTATTTTACAATACTATTGAGTTGGTGAAGTACAATTTAACTTCCTGGTATCTTCTACCCCCCCCCCCCCCACACACTCACAAACACACACAGATAAATACTAACCGGTTGATTTATAATTGATGTTTTAATATCCAGCTGCAAATATTATAGACCTGCATTCTACATAAATATTACAGTTTTAAATAATCACATTTAAGATATTGTGTTGTTCGGGAATGAAAAGAACTCAATGATCATATTATATTTAAAAACATTTTGTAAACCAAGTATGAATTACAAATGTTAAAACCCATTAACCAATAACTTGTATCAGAAGCCATATAAAAATAAGGAAATGTGGTATGATTGCCAATGAGGCAGCTTTCCACTAGACTTCAAATGTTGTGGATATTAGCAATTATAGGTCACAGATAGAATGAATTTTTATATTCACAAATGAAATACTTCCACAGGAAGACAGTTACAAAACCAGAGTCAAGTAATAAGGTCTGATTTTTTTTAAGTTGAAAAAGGAACTAAATATTTATTTCAGGAACCTCAATCACCACAGCCCATAGCAGAAAGTCCACCACAACACCATTCCACCAAACCAAAGTTTACAAAACCAAAACCTGTCCACCCTCATCCAACACAGCCCATGGTACAGACGATACCGCAACAATATATACAACAACAGCAACCAGGGATGTCCCAACCGGCATTTGTTCAGAGTAAGTGGAAATAATTAGTCCTTTTATAAAACCTTTTAGTTCTGACAGTAGTAATGTAGGAAAAACTCATTGGAAAATACTACTGATTTTGACTTGTTCTTTTTTTTTGTCAATTATGGTGAATTGAAAAGGAAATTATTTCAAATTGTGCTATTTTTATTTTATTTTCCATTTCCTCCTCAGAACTTACTGGTTAGTTATCCAAAGTGTAGTTATTGTGATGATTGTTTTGTTTGAATTATTGATCCATCCAAAAAGTGATTTTGTAAACCAACTGTCTACATACCTCAAATTGTGGAGAGGATTTTTATATGCTTGTCAAAGACTGAACATTTTATGGTTTACTTTTGTTTCTCTGTCGATTTGGCCATCCCCATGTCATACAAAAACTAGAAAATGTTTCCAAAAAATTCCTGGAAACTGTTATGAACTTTTTGAATTGGTGTAAGAAAGCTAACGTTCAATTTTGTCTTTCCAGAATTATGAAACTTTTACTGTCAGATTTATGGAAATTTATTTCATGTTAATCACTAACTTAAGTATGCTTGGATCAATTTACTAAAAGCTGTTTTGGAATGAGTAAAAGTAAGCTCCCTTTTACTTTTTTTGTATGTTCTGATCTGTCAGATTTTTCAATTTCTCATTCCAAAGTTTATATTAGACTTTAACAAATCTGTGTTTTATATTTCTCTTTGATGATTTATAATTTAATCTTAGATTTACCAGTAGCCCAACAGTTGGCAGTATATCAGCCCCAACAACAAGGATTTGCACAGCCTCAAATGCAGGTCAGTTGATAATATCAAAAAATAATAATAAAGTCATTCTTATATTCATTGTTGAATTATATTTATTTTAGATACAGAAGTGATTTTCCTTCCGTTGTCTAAGAATTGCTTATTTAAAAGAAACAATGAAGCAACATGATTGGTCAAATGTGTACACAATGATTATATTATTATCTTGTGGATATATTTACCCATATATGGAAAGTCAATCAATGATGTTTTATATGTAAAATCATAAATGCATTAGATGGGGGAGTGAGGCGCAAACAGAAATTCGCAGAAAGAGTCATTTCATTATGTTTACCTGAACACTGTGAATTGCACAGTAAATAGTGTATTAATCTAGAAAGTCTGCTTTTCTATGCCTATAAAGAGTGAATTTCTCAAGATTTTTTTTTTCATAGCTTGAAACAAGATTAATCTTTTGTTATTGCCAAATAAGGTTGCATTAAACACATGAAGCAAAAAATAAATCATCCAAATATAGATTTGCAAAAAATGATCAAATTTTTTTATTAGAATTAGCTGTTATTAAACAATGAAAGCATGTTATATATGTCAGTTATATGATTCTGATTATCTTGTGTTTTACAGCCACAGACAACAATGGGTCAGTTCCCAGCTGGTCAACCACCGATATATAACCCTCAATATCAACAACAACCAGGTATTACTGTTAATAGATTATCTTTCTTTAACATTCAAAGTACTAGCTGTCAATAAATCCAATATCTAACATAGGTAATACTCATTTGATGATCTTAACATTCAAAGTACTAACTGTCAATAAATCCAATATCTAACATGGATAATAGTCACTTGATGATCTTAACATTCAAAGTACTAACTGTCAATAAATCCAATATCTAACATGGATACTAGTCACTTGATGATCTTAACATTCAAAGTACTAACTGTCAATAAATCCAATATCTAACATGGATACTAGTCACTTGATGATCTTAACATTCAAAGTACTAACTATCAATAAATCCAATATCTAACATGGATACTAGTCACTTGATGATCTTAACATTCAAAGTACTAACTGTCAATAAATCCAATATCTAACATGGATACTAGTCACTTGATGATCTTAACATTCAAAGTACTAACTGTCAATAAATCCAATATCTAACATGGATACTAGTCACTTGATGATCTTAACATTCAAAGTACTAACTGTCAATAAATCCAATATCTAACATGGATACTAGTCATTTGATGATCTTAACATTCAAAGTACTAACTGTCAATAAATCCAATATCTAACATGGATAATAGTCACTTGATGATCTTAACATTCAAAGTACTAACTGTCAATAAATCCAATATCTAACATGGATAATAGTCACTTGATGATCTTAACATTCAAAGTACTAACTGTCAATAAATCCAATATCTAACATGGATACTAGTCACTTGATGATCTTAACATTCAAAGTACTAACTGTCAATAAATCCAATATCTAACATGGATACTAGTCACTTGATGATCTTAACATTCAAAGTACTAACTATCAATAAATCCAATATCTAACATGGATACTAGTCACTTGATGATCTTAACATTCAAAGTACTAACTGTCAATAAATCCAATATCTAACATGGATACTAGTCACTTGATGATCTTAACATTCAAAGTACTAACTGTCAATAAATCCAATATCTAACATGGATACTAGTCACTTGATGATCTTAACATTCAAAGTACTAACTGTCAATAAATCCAATATCTAACTACTCTCATCAATCATTTTGCATCAAAGCTTAAAAATTTTTGGTACATGGAATATTAGATTCATAGTTATCGATATATCTTGATGCAATTAAAAAAATTTATGTATTGGATATCAAATTTTATGGTTTTAGTGAATTGGAATTGGGTACTCAACGAAAGCAAATGATTTTATTTGTTAACACTTTGTTAATTACAAATCAATTGAAACTTTGCATTTTCCTTGTTCTAAGTTTGATTTTTTTGTTATCACTTTGTTAATTACAAATCAATTGAAACTTTACATTTTCCTTGTTCTAAGTTTGATTTTTTTGTTATCACTTTGTTAATTACAAATCAATAGAAACTTTACATTTTCCTTGTTCTAAGTTTGATTTTTTTTTTTGTTATCAACAGTAAGTACATGTACCAATCAAAGAATGATATCGCATTTAACTTTGTTGATACAATGTACAAGAAAACAAACACAAAGTAAAAGATCTTTTAATATATCTTAAATTGAAAGTCACTGTACATAGTTTTGTAACAAGCTTAAGGTATGGTAAGTAAATTTTTATACAGAAAATTTGTAATTCATCTGTTTTATAATTCAGTGTAACAGTATGATGTATTTGTACATAGTAAATGAATTTTATCTAACAATTTATAGAACAATTACATACACAGTCAGCTGACAAAAGTAGGTCATTTATCTCTCACTCAGCCTTTTCTGTATTTAGAATATTAACCAAGGCCAATATTGCTGCTGAGATTTCATATTGCACTGTAAACATTTACCTTTAGTTATTGTAAAACACATTCCTTTGCATAATGATTAGATAGTGTTAAATGCTTAAAAAAAGAAAATAATTAATTGTGTATTTGTATTAAAAGTTGTAGCCAAACACTAACAATTCCTAGAATAAAAAAGTTAAAAGTTAGTAATGAAAATAGATAAAATATATGTGTATATATACATGTATGCACATGTTATCAATGCATTAAAGCTCTGTTGCAACAGCTGATAAACATTTATACCAACAAAAGTTTTTAAAGCTATTATCATCTTTTGTGTAGAGTATGAAGAGTTATCTTTCTTGAATATTTACCCCACAAAACATTTACTGCCTGTTGTAGCAAAACAATACCATTCCAATATGAAACCCTTAAATTTAGCAATGTAAATAGATTAAAATATGTGTACATGTGATTATTTAGAGCTCAGTTGCAAAGCTTATAACCAGGGCTTCCAAAATTATTTTTAGCCAGCCGGACATTTTATATATTATCCCGATTTTAATCCCTTAAGACTAAATAAATAAAAGGCAATTATGGTAATCAGTTGCCGAGTTGGCCATCCGAATGATTGACATTAAAAAAAAAACGATATTAAACTTTCTTTGATTCAAATTCGAAGTTCTGACATAAACTGTTAAATTGGCAGTGCATCATTCGAAGTGTGCAACATCAGCGTACTTATATCTGCTTAGACTCTTTATTTGTGCAAAATAACGTTGTCAAAAACTTTACTTTCGTTTTTAAATCTAAACCGGATGTTATCTTGACAATGGTAAAACATGGACCAGAGACGGATACGTAAATTCCGTGTACGTTTACAAAGCATGAATGAGTGTAAGTAGCTCTTTCTACGTTATTTCTTCAAGAAAATATTCGAAATAAACGTGAGATAAAGGTATCAATGACAATTTAAGCATTTTTTGAAGGAATTAGGATTCACAATTCAATTTCACACCTGTGCACATGCGCACACGTGTACTAGTTCAAACAGAGACATGTCTCTGGTTCAAACAACGTGGTTATTATGATTTTTCATTTTCTCCTTTTTAATTTTTTCATCAAATCATATTTGTTAACGTATTTCTGATCAATTTAAATCTTTTTAACTAAATTAATTAGATGCAAACCGCTGAAATGTAAGAAAATAACTTTGAATAGACCGATCAATGTCCGGTTCAAAATAGTTTACCTGTCACCTGAACAGGTAAATTTCAGCTGTTCGACAACTAATTAGCCTTGATTAAATGAGAAGGTATTAAAGTAGGGGTTGTTTTGATAGTACTTAATGATCATGTCACTTTTATGACCGGAAATGTGTGGCTGTTAAAGGCAAAAGGTTGGGTCAAAAAAATCGCGAAATTATTTTTAAAATGACCGTCTCTTAAGCCTTGAAAACTAAAAAGTAGATGTCCGTTTCATGCTTTGCCCAGCCGGACTTTTACCGGACATTATACAAATGTCCGGAATATATGACCGTTTTGGAAGCCTTGCTTATAACCCATTTACCAATGTAGGTCAGCAATTATGAATGTGATTTCTTAGTTCTATCATAATTCCACATTCTTTACATAAAAAAACAATAAATCTAAGTACCAATAATTTGTTAATAAAAGATGTATGCATAAGTCTGCTAATGAAACAATAATTCTCATATGAACTGTTTTATCAAATGTGAGCAATCCTTTAAAACCCTATACAAAAAATTATAACATAATTATCCCTTAATACAAGACAAAAAACGATATATTCCATGTACAATGTACTAGGGACATGGAATCTTAGTTGAAGGAATTTCAATGATATAACACACGGATGATGATGATAAGAAAAGAAAAAAATGTAATTTATTCAAATGCAATTAACCCCAATAGAAGAATCTTTATGTGGAGCCAAACTTCCTGTACTTTCACAGAATGCAAATCCTGTTTTCCATACAGAGGTTATATCAATCAAGTCTGTCTTTTGGTGATAAAATCTTGGATTTGTTGCTGATTCCCACACCAAATGATTTGTTCCCGAGACATTGAAGTAACTTCTGTAATAATGTATAACAGGATGATAGTAACCTCCATTGATCCGATGGCTGATGTCAGATACAGCCTGTATGGTCATGTTATGACAGCCGTCTTGATCTCGAAAACGTATATTATAATGGATATCACCAAAAGCAAGTTGTGGAATTTTCTCTGGAATCAATATAAACTGGATAATCACAGAATTTGTTGATTCTTTTCTCAGAAAATTTTCACAGTCGTTAGGTCCTTTTAAAAGAGTTTTGTTTTTAGAATTAAAGTGAAAGCATTCTCTTGCTTCTAAAATTGATTGGTTTGTCAGTCCAGAATGCCATAGTACAAATTTAGTTTTTGTAGAACTATCATAGGAAAGCTTGACCGTATCACTGTTTCGCTCCTTTATGTCGTAAATAGAAGTTAATCTTATCCAGTTTATGTTAGAATTGTCAGTTGTGTTGTCAAATTCTAAAATGGGTAAATTGAGATATATGCTGACATTGTTGAAAAACTTTTCACTGTCATATTTTCCGTGATACAGTCCTTTCGGGGTTCCAAACTTAATATATCCATTGGGTGTGTGTTCAAATAATGTCAAGAAACATAAGGTAATTGATGAGAAGAAGAGAAGGAGTAGACCAAGAATAATGAGGACTCTATAGGTCAAATGTCTAAGTCCAGTTTTAGGTGGTTTATCTTCTGTCTCATCGTCTTGTTGACGATCAACAAATCTAACTAATGCCATTAAAACACGTGCTAGACTTCCAAGAATGATAACTACAGCTTTTACAACTTGATAATAACTAATTGCATACTCTCGACACAAAGCAATAAAAATATTTATAAATATTTGTGGTACATCTTCTATCCAGATTGTACACAAAGAGGCTAATTCAGGGTCTATTATTGGTTGGTGATAGAAAATCTCCAGCCAAACATTGACAATTTCTACTGAAAATGTTATTGTTCCTAAAACTGAAAAACAAAGTAGTGCATAAATAATTCTAGTTTCAGGAGGACCAAAAACTAGGCCTCTTTTGATTTTAATGACATCACAGAAAAGTGACCAATCAGAAAACACATCTGCCACATCAAAAAGCAAAACTAAACTGAAGAGAATAATCTGAAACCAAAGTTTGTTTCTGTTAGTTTTTGTACATGCACAGCATCCAACAGCAGTTTTAATTCTGTGATATGATGTGCCTTCCATACTTGGGTCATCTTTTATTGTCCTTGGACCAAGTTCAATACTGTCATCTGCAGCTTTGTTGATTGCTCCAGTTGATTGTTCTCTACAAAATAAAGATGATTTTTTTATTATCATGTGAATAAAAAGAAATGTAGAGCATACCTGGGACTATTATACTAATGACATTAGAATCTTGTAGGGTTTTCCTTATGATATGATCTAATTACCGGACTCAACGAGATTTTACGAGACTGGTGATGATTTGGAGTGAAAGATGTGTAAATTTACGGAATAATTTTAAACGATCATCAAAAACATAATAATTTGTTAATTAGAATGACACATAAAAGAACGATTTTCAGGTTGTGAAGTGATTTAAAGCGTTTTGAAATGATCACAGATTTATTGCCACTGTTTTTATTTATTATCCCTTTGCATTTAGGCACAATTCTGTAAGGAAATAAATCTTTAGATAATTAAAATATAGCAACAAAGTTAAGATTTATTGTTTTTAGCTCACCTGGTGAGCTTTTCTTATCACTTGGCGTCCATTGTCTGTCATTGTCATCTGTTAACTTTTTACAAAAATATTCTCCTCTGAAACTACTGGGCCAAATTTAACCAAACTTGGTCAAAAATAGAACATGTAAAATGCAAGTTCTGTCTATTATTTTGAAAACTGTTATAAATAGAGAAATTCTAACACGTTCAAAATTGTTCAGAATGTTGAGCTCTACCAATTGTTCATTGACATCAAAACTGTCAGGAGACTTCTTATTGGAGTTATTGCCCTTAAATGACAAATGTTACCACTTTTTTTCATTTTTGCCTTTTATCTTGAAAACTAAAGTAGATGCAGAGAAACTTTAAGTTGCAAAAATGACCAGCAAGACAAGATCTACAAATAAGTATGCATGGTTGAAATCGTCAGTCGACTGCTTACAAGATCTACATTAAAGACCATATGGAGGAAATTTTCCTACAACTCCTTATTGGAGTTATTGCCCTTTAATGATGATTTTTACAATTTTCCTTATATGATAAAAATTATCATAAATTAATAGAAACTTTAAATAACAAAAATGATCAGCAAGGCAAGATCTACAAACAAGTCGGGGCATTAAGTTTTACCCTTGTCAGTCTGTATGTACGTAGTCCAAAAATTGGTTTCCGGTCTCTAACTTGAGTTTGCCTCAACCAAATGTTATAAAACCTATACACAATGCTAATTACCACCAAATACAGATCAAGGTTGAATTTTGGTGACGTCACTTTAACCGTTCTAGAGTTATGCCCCTTTATAAATGGAAAAATTGCAATTTTTTTTTTAGTTTCCGTTCTCTAACTTAAGTTTGCCTCAACCAACTGTTATGAAACTTATACACAATGCTTATTACCACCAAATACAGATCAAGGTTGAATTTTGGTAGGGTCCCTCTAACTGTTCTAGAGTTATGCCCTTTATAAATGGAAAAATTACAAAATTTTTCGTTTCCGTTCTGTAACTTAAGTTTGCCTCAACCAAATGTTATAAAACCTATACACAATGCTAATTACTACCAAATACAGATCAAGGTTGAATTTTGGTAGTATCACTCTAACTGTTCTAGAGTTATGCCCCTTTATAAATGGAAAAATTACAAAATTTTTAGTTTCAGTTCTCTAACTTAAGTTTGCCTCAACCAAATGTTATGAAACTTATACACAATGCTTATTGCCACAAAACACAGATCAAGATTGAATTTTGGTAGCGTCACTCTGACTGTTCTAGGGTTATGCCCCTTTATAAACGTAAAAACTGCAAAATTTTTCGTTTCCGTTCTGTAACTTAAGTTTGCCCCAACCGAACATTATGAAACCTATACACAATGCTTATTACCTTAAAACTCAGATCAATTACAAATTTGAGTAGCGTCACTTTTATCGTTCTTAAGTTATGTCCCTTTATAATGTTGTATGCAAGCAGGGGCATCATCTGTGTCCATGGGGACACATTCTCCATTTATTTTTACCTTCTTTTGTGTTTTGAGCAAAAACTAAAGACGATAGAGAGAAACTAAACAGACAAAATGATCAGCAATACAAGATCAATAATAAAGAATTTTTTGTCATGAACTTGATTCTTGTCTACAATGTTGGAGAGAGTCCATAGTTGATTATGCACATATACCTAGGTGAGCGACACAGGCTCTGTAGAGTCTCTAGTTAATTTTTTTTTTTTTATTGTATGTCTCAGTTGATAATAGGAAAATATAAAAGAAAGAAAAAAAAAGAAAATGATAAATGCAATTGCTGCTTTCTCTAATAAAATAATTTTTAGTGTCTGTCTTATGGTTTATTTTATTACTTTGGAATAAATTAGATTCTTTTTTTACATTATTCAGACAAAGAAAAAATATTCTTTGCTGTACATGCAAAATCAAAGAGAAAATATTGTATCAGACAAAATAAAAGACAATTCATTCAGTGCTAAAAAATAAAATAAGAGACAGGTACCTTTGATAGGTAATCAAATGTATAATAATTATGATAATAATTTTCTACTAAGAAAACAATTTGTAATCAACACAAATAATATTTAATGAAATTATTTATTTTGAAAATATAAAGCATACACCCATGTTTGAGCACTTTTTAGATGAAAGTTCGTTTTTTATTGTTTCATAGTAAGAAAATAGAACAAAAAGGAAAGGAAGTTATAATTGCAGTTTTCTCTTTTAAAAACAACTTTAGTTTCTGTATATTTGTTCATTTATATTTTTTTGAATTAATTAAATATTTTTACATTATTGTTATGAAATACAAGAAAATTTTTATTCATTATTTTAAAACTGTTTCGAATTGGTAATTGAAGGGCCTTAAATATAATTATCGTCAATTAAAGCAAGTATGTATAAGTAATGTGACACATCTTCGTTTCTGTGTCATATTGGTAATTAGAACTGACACGACAAGGTAGTCGGTACAATGGTCTAGTGCCAAGTCCCATCAATATATTATGTCCCAGAGTATACATACAACCCAATCAAATCTAACAATCAAAAGATCAGATTTGTTGAAAAAAGTAATCCTATGTCAGCTCATCAGATTTGATAGAATGTATCTATTTTGTTTATTGATTGACCGTTCAATCTAAATAAGATAGAGTGGTAATGCTGCATCAAAATGGGGAAAAACACAATGTATTTGTCAAAATATCCCTGAAAGAAAATTTTAAGTTGATATTACCTTAGGATGTTATCAGTTGACCCTAATAGATATCTTCCCTCACCAGCCATCTTAGATTAGGTTTCAATGTAAGCTATTGAAAATTATAAACTGCTTCAGATTGTTGTGCTATTTTCCAATTCATATCAATGTAATGATTCCAAGCTTGCATTCCAGAACATCTTGTTACTTTCCTTATGTTCAAAATGTCCAATTTTTGCCTTTTTCCTAGTTCATAAAAGCGCTCAGTTCTAAATCTTGATAATCCTTTAGATTTCCTAACTACCAATTAGTTCATAAAGCACTCAGTACCAAAGCTTGATAATCCTTTAGATTTCCTAACTACCAATTAGTTCATAAAGCACTCAGTACCAAGGCTTGATAATCCTTTAGATTTCCTAACTCCCGATTAATTCATAAAGCATTCAGTACCAAAGCTTGATAATCCTTTAGATTTCCTAACTCCCGATTAATTCATAAAGCAATCAGTACCAAGGCTTGATAATCCTTTAGATTTCCTAACTCCCGATTAATTCATAAAGCACTCAGTACCAAAGCTTGATAATCCTTTAGATTTTCTAACTCCCGATTAGTTCATGAGGCACTCAGTACCAAAGCTTGATAATCCTTTAGATTTCCTAACTCCCAATTAGTTCATAAAGCAGTCAGTACCAAAGCTTGATAATCCTTTAGATTTCGTAACTCCCAATTAGTTCATCAGTTTATTTTAAACACTCTTTCTCTTAAAGAGGGTTGTTTTATGCAATAGCTGCATTCTTTCCAGTCAAAATCAAAGAGATTTGTATCACATTGTAACAGACTGTGTAATAACTGTAATAGATTTATATTTCATAGTCATCAGAATATTTACAAAAGATTATAATGTGTTCAGGTGCAGAGGAAAGTTTTAACAATGTTATTTATGTTATAAATAATAAGACTTGCTGTTGGCCACGAGAGACCATATGTTGCTTTGTAAAAAAATGTCAGGTGTGAATATGATTAGGATTAGATCTGACTTAAACATTGATTTTTAATAACATAGTTTATGGGGTAAAGAACAAATAGCTAAATAATTGATAATTTGCTGGTATAGGTAGTCCTCAAAAGGGAAGATGATCAACTTGGACCATATATTAATTTTGGTAATTTAGGGCTGTATATTATCGTCAATAAAAGCGAGTACGTATAAGTAATTTGACACATCTCCGTTTCCTTGTCATATCAGTAATTAGAACTGACCCGACAAGGTAGTTGGTACGATTGTCTAGTGTCTAGTCCTGTAAATATATTATGTCCCAGAGTATACATACAACAAGAAATGACACGGATACAGAGATGTGTCAAATTACTTATACATACTCGCTTTTATTGACGATAATATACAACCCTAAATTACCAAAATATTATGTGGTCCAAGTTGATCATCTTCCCTTTTGAGGACTACCTAGACCAGCAATTTATCAATTATTTAGCTATTTGTTATTTATTTTTATCACCTTTCAGTGTTGTTGATTCCCCATAAACTATGTTATTAAAAATCTATGTTTATTCTCATACCACATCTTCTTATTTATACAAAATGTTTGAACTGAAATTTAGAATAGTTCTTTTAGTAAAGCCAATATATATAAAGCTTTACATTTCCCGATGCACAGTGTAAAATAATCAACGAGTTCACTTTCTGGATATGATGTTACCAAATGCCTCTTATTTATGAATTAAATTAAAAAATTTAAAAAAATATAAATTTCTATATAAATATTGCTGGTAACTTAGAAATACAAATATATAAGGCTATTAAACAACTTACTAGTATTTTTTTACAAATGGTCTCTCTGTGCAAAAATGTCTCAGTATAAAATTATCATATGTTTTATAGCTCCACCTGACACTCAGATTTTGCCTGTGTTAACAGAGAACCGACAGCAGACGACAGAGTTAAGAATTAGTATGGGCAAAGTTTCTGATAAAGTAGACAGAATATTGGAAAAGGTATCAACTTTTGTTTTAGAGACTGCATTTTAGAGTCATTTCAGTAAACATTAATCAAATATTTAAATAGAAAATAAATATACTTCATGCTCTGACAAAGAAACAAAGCACAAGTTATACTGTTATGCTGTGTTAATTAGTACATACTGTTGACTAATTATTATTTGTTGGATACAAATTTTTGTGGGTTTCATGGGAACAGGTGAACAACGAATTTAAATGTTCAAGTAAGTACAAATTTTCTATAGTCTTGCATGCAGATTTTGGCAAAACCACATAATCAAATATCCACGGAAATACAATTTTTCCTTAAATCATGAAAATTGGTACCCACAAAAATAAATGAATCCACAGTATTCCAATACCATGTTTCTGTAATGGAAGAGAGATATAAATTCTAGAAGATAATATTATAAGATTACATTACCTTGAAATAACCTCTTAAAACCTACAAAAACATCTCTTTTCAGCTTGACGAAAGGGCCAAGTGAGCTTTTCTCATCACTTGGCGTCCGTCGTCTGTCGTTATCCTCATCGTAAATAAAAATCTACTCCTCTGAAATTACTGGGCCAGATTTAACCAAACTAGGCCACAATTATCATTGGGGTATCTAGTTTTAAAAATGTGTCCGATGTCCCCCTCTGCTTACCAAGATGGCCAACATGGCTAAAAATAGAACATAGGGGTAAAATTCAAGTTTTGTCTATTAATTTGAAAACCTTTAAAAATAGAGAAAATCTGACAAGAGCAGAAATGTTCAGAATGTTAAGCTCTACCAATTGCTCATATACTTTAAAACTGTCAGTCGACTTCTTATACATCTTGAAACTATAATAGATAGAAACTTTAAAATACAAAAATGACCAGCAAGACAAGTTCTACAAATAAGTCTGCCTTATCGAAATTGTCAGTCGACTCCTTAATAGAGTTATTGCCCTTTAATGACGATCTTTACAAATTTTGTTGGCGTTTTGCCTTATATGATAAAAATTATAATAGATACATAGATACTTTAAATCACAAAAATGATCAGCAAGGCAAGATCTACTAACAAGATAAATTTTGTCGATATAGTTAGTAGACTGTCACTCTTCATAGGAGTGATTGCCCTTAAATGAGAATTTTTTGTGCCCCCGCCGTATTGGAGGGGGCATTAAGTTTTACCCTTGTCCATCTGCACGCATGTCCGTCTGTACGTCCCAAAGTTGGTTTCTGTTCTTTAGCTTTAGTTTACCTCAACCAAATGTTATGAAACTTAAACACAATGCTTATTACCACAAAACACAGATCAAATTTGAATTTTGTTGGTGTCACTTTAACTGTTCTAGTTTAAACATATTTATTCGTCATCATTACAAATATATCATCATACAAAATACATAATTATAATAGGATTCATTCTAGAGTTATGTCTCTTTACAAATGGAAAAATTGCTGATTTTTTTATTTCCGTTCTATAACTTTAGTTTACCTGACCCAAATGTTATGAAACTTATACACAATGCTTATTACTACAGAACGCAGAATTTTGGTTGTGGCACTTTAATCGTTCTAGAGTTATGCCCCTTAACAAATGGAAAAATTGCTGAATTTTTAGTTTCCGTTCTCGTACTTAAGTTTGCCTCAACCAAATGTTATGAAACTGATACACAATGCTTATAACCACAAAATACAAATCAAGTTTAAATTTGGAGGTGTCACTTTTACTGTTCTAGAGTTATGCCCCTGTACAAATTGAAAAATTGCTGAATTTTTTGTTTCAGTTCTCTAACTGAAGTTTGCCTCAACCAAATGTTATGAAACTATACACAATGCTTATTACCACAAAACTCAGATTAAATACAAATTTGGGTAGCGTGACTTTTACTGTTCTTCAGTTATGTCCCTTTATAACTTAATATGATATGCAAGCGGGGGCATCATCTGTGTCCCATGGACACATTCCCCATTTATTTGCATTTGTTTGCACCTGTCCTAAGTCAGGAACCTGATGTTCAGTGGTTGTCGTTTGTTGATGTGGTTCATAAGTGTTTCTCGTTTCTTATTTTTTATATAGATAAGACTGTTGGTTTTCCTGTTTGAATGGTTTTACACTAGTCATTTTTGGGGCCCTTTATAGCTTGCTGTTCGGTGTGAGCCAAGGCTCCGTGTTGAAGGCCGTACTTTGACCTATAATGGTTTACTTTTACACATTGTGACTTGGATGGAGAGTTGTTTCATTGGCACTCATACCACAACCTCTTATATCTATTTACCCTATTTTGTGTTTTGAGCCAAAACTAAAGAAGATAGAAACCAAACAGACTAAATGATCAGCAAGGTAAGATCAACAATACAGAGATTTTTGTCATGAATTCTATTCTGGTCTACAATGTTGGAGAGTGTCCTTTGTTGAAAATGCACATAGACCAAGGTGATCGACACAGTCTCTTTATAGCCCCTATTTTGAATATGTCCTTAATACATTTATATATTTCCAGGTAGAGAGTATGCAAAACCAACAAAATGGTCAGCTGAGTTTACAGTCCACCCAACCTAACATGGAGGCCTCTGTTCTGATGCATAATGTACAGAGAATTGTCCAGGTAAAATGGCTGCTGATTGTTATTACTGAATTAATATCGCCTGATCATTTATGGTTTTAAGGCTACATAGCTTAGGGACCTTCTATTCAAGGAAAGGAAAACTTAAAAATGATGGCACTGATTTCAAATCATATAATTGATATCATTCTATATCTGCATTGATTGTAATACACTATTTTCCTTTCAAGACAGTAAAATTTTCAAATTTAAAACACATAGCTTGTCAAGCTTTTTGATATTAAAAATATAACTGTTGAGAGTGGAAAAATACTATATAGAGATACAGTAGCTGAATCTGTTTCTCTAATGATTTTTATACGTCCTTTTACGGAAAGTATTATGGTATACCGTTGTCCGTCTGTCCGTCCGTCCGTCTGTCTGTCCGTCGTCAACATGTCAGACAATAACTAAACTCTTTAAACAATTGGCATGAAACTTTAGTGAATTGTTTATATCTATTGACGTGAGCTCCTTTTCGTTTTTAATAAATTTTAGATTTTAAGTTTCCGAGTTTTGGGTTTTTTTTCAATAAAAAAGGGGGATTTTCCAGTTTTTGGACAATAACTCTAAAACACTTTCACCAATTTACAAGAAACTTTGGTGAATTGTTTATATCTAATATGATGAGCTCCCTTTCAATTTTTATAAATTTTAGATTTTACATTTCCAAGTTATGGGGTTTTATTCATTAAAAAAGGGGGATTTTCCAGTTTTCGGACAATAACTCAAAAATGCTTTTAGCAGTTTTCATGAAACTTTGGTGAATTGTTTATATCTATTGACTTAAGCTCCCTTTCGATTTCTATAAATTTTAGATTTTACGTTTGGGAGTTATGTGATTTTATTCATAAAAAAGGGGGGATTTTCCAAAATTTTCCAGTTTTCGTACAATGCTTTTAGCAGTTATCATGAAACTTTGGTGACTGGTTTATATATATCAAGATAACCTTCCTTTAGTTTTTCGTGAATTTCTAATATGACATTGAGAAGTTATTGAACTTTATTCTTTGAAAAAGCAACCGGCGTATCATGCGCTCATGGCGCAGCTGTTTATTAAAGAAAATGTAGGCAAATACTATCTCCTTTTTTAAATAATCAAAAAGATCATGATCTTTCTTTTTGACACCATCGTGCATGGTCACCTTTTTTCGTTACATCACAATTCGAAATCAGAGGGAAAATGAAGAACTGATATCAAGCAAACCACTTGCTGATTATCAGAAAAAAACAACTGATCGGAAAAACAATAAATTGGCAAAGAATTCAAGAAAAATGTACATTTAGCATAAGGAAACAACAGTAAGTTATGAATTTCTCACTTAGTTATACCCCTGCAAAAATAATTTGAGGGGTATAATGGAAACATCCTGTCTCCCATCCATCTGTTCATGTGCCTTGTATGTGCAACTCCTTATTAACAGCTAGATACTTAAGTTATAGGTCACTTCTTGAGGATGTGCATAAAGGAATATAATCCTGATTCTATATAAAAGGGGGGGGGGGATAATCGGACTTAGCTACTTTAATATTGCAACATGTGGTAATAGTCTCATGTAATAGCAACTGATCCTAAATAGATTGATAAGGTTTTTAACCAAGAGAAGGAATGTGATCAGTATGGATAAAGGGAGATGTTGGATATATGTCATTGAGATAAATATGAATAAAAGGAGGAGATGTTGGATATATGTCATTGAGATAAATATGAATAAAAGGAGATGTTGGATATATGTCATTGAGATAGATATGAATAAAAGGAGATGTTGGATATGTGTCATGGAGATAAATATGAATAAAAAGAGATGTTGAATATGTCATGGAGATAAATATGAATTAAGGGAAATGTTGGGTATATGTCATTGAGATAGATATGAATAAAAGGAGATGTTGGATATATGTCATTGAGATAGATATGAATAAAAGGAGATGTTGGATATATGTCATTGAGATAGATATGAATAAAAGGAGATGTTGGATATATGTCATTGAGATAGCATATTAATGACACAAAAATCATAAAACATCTATAGGTTGACATACAGACTTCAACAACTGGCATGTGTCTTTACAACATGTCAGCTCTGTATTGCTTTAAGAGTTATGAAGGTATATTGCAGATACTGTCAAATACCTACTATCATCGTCAAATCCCAGAAAAAACCATAGAGATATAACAAAAAAGTCACTGAAGGGATTTTTCACTTAAGACAATATTTGAATTCCCTGTTTGTGTTATTTGTTGTAGATAGTACAAACAGTTATATCATCATCTTACTGTGAATATCTTACAACTTACAAGTTAACATTGGTGATGTTCTATAGTTTAGTTCTAATTAGTTGTTTTTTGTCCTGCCAGCGACTTTCGTCGTGGAAAGCAGACATAGGGATTGCTTTGCCGGCGACAGCTGCGGCGAGGGCGTCAACAATTGTTAAGTTTTCTGCTTAAGTTAATGTGATAGATCAACGATATTTTTTATGAAGTTGCATTACTATCAGTACATATCAGTTTGACAACAATTTTGAGGCCATGCCCCCTAAGTCATGGTCCAGCAACTTTGAATGAATTAGCAATTTTCAATGTTAAGTTTTCTGCTTAAGTTAGTTTGATATGAACTACTAGTGATAGATCAGTGATATTTTTGTATGAAGTCGCATTACTATCAGTACATATCAGTTTGACGACTATTATAGGCCCTGCCCTCAGGCCATGGTCCAGTGACTTTGAATTAATTAGCAATTTTATATGTTAAGTTTTCTGCTTAAGTTAAATTGATAGGAACTACTGGTGATAGATCAATGGTATTTTGTGTGAAGTTGCATTGCTATCAGTACATATCAGTTTGATGACTATTTTGAGGCCTACCTCCTAGGCCACGGTTCAGTAAATTTCAATTAATTAGCAATTTTCAATGTTAAGTTTTCTGATTTAGTTAGTTTGATAGGAACTACTTACAATAGACAAAATTTTCTATAAAGTTATAGTGCTGTCTGTACATCTCAGTTTGTCAATCATTTCGAGGCCATACACACTAGGTGGTCCAGCGACTTTGAATTAATTAGCAATGTTGCTGTCCATCAGATTGTTTCTTTCTGAATTTTATACCGACAGGCGAGACATATCTCTGTGTTTATTTTTTTTTATATAATATTTCTTGTTGGTAGGCCAAAAGTATTAATATCAATACTTTTCATTCTTTTTTTAAATATAGTATAATTTCAGTGGCTCCAACGCTGAATTAAACTTTCCAACTGTTTGTATTTATACACAATAGTTCATGTCATGAACATTTATACAATGTTATGAATTGTGAGTACAAAAATTGCCATAAATTATATTGTTTCAGCTGCTGAAGTTAAACTATAGTGACTGTTCAATTTTATTATTTTGTGTTCATTGCTACTTGTCCTCTTAAAAATACATGACTATGTAGTTCTTGGGCAGGAGAAATACACCAATATCAGATACAATACTGTATTTATTTGCAACTTTAATTGTAGTTAATGGCAAGGGAAGATAACTCCAATTCGGAATATTGTATGCATTGCAAAATGAAAGCAATCTTTACCCTTCAGTGCTCACAAGGACTTTTTTTTTAATTTTATTTTTCTCTTCTTTTTAAATGATTATTTCTTTATTTAAATGTACAGTACTCATTCAATTCTGCAATTAAAGAAATTTACTGTTCAATAAAGCTTCCTGCATATATATATATATGTACAAATTTCAGAACTTCTTTGTTTTTATGGGTCATTTGACTAATTATAAAATTTACAAAGTTCAGTAAATGTGTTTTTCTTATTTGTAGGAAAATGATAGACTAAGAAAAGATGGATATGACAAAAGTTCTAAAATAGAATCACTAAATAACAAGATATCAGAACTTTTACAGACCAACCAACAGTAAGTATTCACTAGTGACTAGTATAGTAGTTAAGTAGGACAATATTGAAGATAAACGTGTTTAGGTTACTGTAAATACAGAAATTATTGTGAGGTTTTTATTAATGCGAATATTGCAACTGGTTGAGTATCGCAATAATAAGAACTCGCATTTTGATATATGACGTATATATCCCTATGCAGATTTTCCTGAAATCGCAATAATTAATCTAGCATTTTTGCCCATTCTTCTAAAATGGCAATAATAAATGAACGCACTCATTTCTGAATTTACAGTAGTTTAATAACAAAGTTGCAATGAAGTTGAACTTTTTGGTATTTGATATGAAGAATGCTGTCTGTCTTACTCAGCTAATGCATCAGTGGTGCTTCTATATCATTAGAACATTTTTATGAAATTGAAAAGTTAAAAGATTGATATATAATTGTGTTTTATGAAAATAGTTTTTAGGTGCAAAAGCTTGAAAAATGTTTACTGAAAAAAGAAGTAAACATAGATTAAAATTACAAATCTGCTGAAAGAAATAACCTGTTAATTAGCATTGATACACTTACTTAAAAAATCTGATGCTCTAGATTCAACATGTATACAGTAGGTTAGCTTACATCAACCATCTTATAGTATGATGATACAATAGAAACAATAAAAGTGGACAAAAGGAAGATATCAAATCCTTCAAAATATCTTTACACTATCAATGTCAACTTAAGGGTTGGCTTTCTATTGAAGAATGAAATCATGGTTTAAGGTAGAATAGAACATAAGTTTTTTGTTGTTGTAGGTTTGTAGAGAAGAGTCAGACATTAATAGAACAGAGAAATGAAGGTTTCATTTCTACAGCTTCACAGTCTCAAGCCAGAGTGCTGTCCTTAGAGCAGGAAAAAGTAAGATCTTTTACTGTTATACTTCTATAATGTCACAGTCACTAGTCAAAGTACTTGCTGTAGAGCAGGGAAACACTAGTTACTGCAGTTTTACAGTAACAAGCCAGCATCACACTCACAGGCCAGATTACTGGCTTTAGAGAAGGAAAGATGAAGTTTATTTGCTTAAAGTTTTGTTAAAAAGTAAAGCTTTTAAATGTCTTAATCCATGAATTCAAATTTCAAATACATTCAAGTCAAAAATGCATAGGATTATGAAATGTTACTTTTCACATGTTTGGTGAAGAATCTTGTTTATATAGAATTGAGAATGGAAACGGGAATGTGTCAAAGAGACAACAACCTGACCAAATAGCATATTTAAATACAGTGTTACAAATGACAATGGTAGGAATTTGAAAACATTCAGTTTAATGAGTTAAAATGCAAGTAATGATATAAACATTAAAGGCAATTCTCTGTAACCACCAACCAAGTTGCGGCACGCATAGTCTCAGATTTTTAGGCAGTTAAATGAGACGTGACACGATTTTTTTTTAGATTAATAAATATTAGTCTTAAAACATGTTTTATACAATTTTGCTGGTAAAAACCTGATCAATCAGCATTTTTCTGGTCAAAGAATCCAGCGCTTGTCATAATGAATGATTTTTAATTAGATAACGATCTCGTGATCGTGCTTACGTCATTGGTTACAAGCTGGGAAAATGTCTCTAACTGGACATTGTCGATACACTATGGACGGTATTGACAGCACTTTTCCATATTACTGACAAATTATAAAGACAATTGACCTCATAAATTTGAGCCATTGTGTGGGGAAAATAACCAAGAAAAGGATATTAATTCTTCATGCGAATTAAGAGTCCAACAGCGACGATTTTCAGACAATACCAATCGGATTGTTACCATACATATTTGGTTTGTCTGATGAATAAATTTAATAGACTGCTTTCTGCATTTTTAGCTCACCGGGGCCCGAAGGGCCCCATGTGAGCTTATGCCATCACTTGGCGTCCATCGTCGTCCGTCGTCTGTCGTCGTCGTCTGTCGTCGTAAACTATTTCAAAAATCTTCTCCTCTGAAACTACTGGGCCAAATACCTTCAAACTTTTACTAAATGTTCGTTAGGGTATCTAGTTTATAAATTGTATCCGAAGTTTTGATCCATCGACAGACATGGCCGCTATGGCTAAAAATAGAACATAGGGGTCAAATGCAGTTTTTGGCTTATATCTCTAAAACTAAAGCTTTTAGAGTAAATCTGACATGGGGTAAAATTGTTCAATTGGTCAAGATCTATCAGCTCTGAAATTTTCAGACGATCGAACAACCCATTGTTGGGTTCCTGCCACGGAATTGGTAGTTTTAACAAAATTTTGCAGTTTTTTGTTATTATTTTGAACATTACTATAGATATATGTAAACTGTAAGCAGCAATAATGTTCAGCAAAGTAAGATCTACAAAAAAGTTAATATGACCATAATTGTCAATTGACCCCTTAAGGAGTTATTGCCCTTTAAAGACAATTTCACACAATTTGTTCATCAAGTTTGCTAACATTTAAAAATCTTCTCCTCTGAAACTACTGGGCCAACTACCTTCAAACTTAATCTAAATGTTCCTTAGGGTATCTTGTTTATAAATTGTAGCCGAAGTTTGTATCCATCGACAAACAAGGCCGCCTTGGCTAAAAATAGAACATAGGGGTCAAATGCAGTTTTTGGCTAATATCTCAAAAACTAAATCTTTTAGAGCAAATGTGACAGGGGTAAAATTGTTTAATTGGTCAAGATCCATCGGCCCTGAAATTATCTGACGAATCGAACAACCCATTGTTGGGTTGCTGCCACCGAATTGGTAGTTTTAACAAAATTTTGCAGTTTTTTGTTAGTATTTTGAATATTACTATAGATATATGTAAACTGTAAGCAGCAATAATGTTCAGCAAAGTAAGATCTACAAAAAGGTTAATATGACCAAAATTGTCAATTGATCCCTTAAGGAGTTATTGCCCTTTAAAGACAATTTTACACAATTTGTTCATCAAGTTTGCTAACATTTAAAAATCTTCTCCTCTGAAACTACTGGGCCAATTACCTTCAAACTTTAACTAAATGTTCCTTAGGGTATCTTGTTTATAAATTGTATCCAAAGTTTGTATCCATCGACAAACAAGGCCGACATGGCTAAAAATAGAACATAAGGGTCAAATGCAGTTTTTGGCTTATATCTCTAAAACTAAATCTTTTAGAGCAAATGTGACAGGGGTAAAATTGTTTAATTGGTCAAGATCTATCGGCCCTGAAATTATTAGACGAATCGAACAACCCATTGTTGGGTTGCTGCCACCGAATTGGTATTTTTAACAAAATTTTGCAGTTTTTTGTTATTATTTTGAATATTGTTATAGATATATATAAACTGTAAGCAGCAATAATGTTCAGCAAAGTAAGATCTACAAAAAAGTTAATATGACCAAAATTGTCAATTGACCCCTTAAGGAGTTATTGCCCTTTAAAGACAATTTTACACAATTTTTTCATCAAGTTTGCTAACATTTAAAAATCTTCTCCTCTGAAATACATTTAAAAATCTTCTCCTCTGAAATACAGGTGAGCGATTCAGGTTCTTGAGAGCCTCTTGTTATATCTGCATATTCTTAAAAGCAATAAAAATAAGATCTATATACAGGTTGTCTATTAGTTATCAACACTGGTTAAGGTATTTAATTGGTGGTGCATAGGGTATTGTATGGTCGTACTACAGGTATTTATTAAACATGTGATCAGGTAGTTATACCTGTATTACTGTTACAATAATATATTCCAATCTCATCTGTGCCCTCGGCAAAACCAACATCCAGGATGTACACAAAGAGCTTATGAAGTAATATTGCGTAATAACTATGTCTTATCAATCCCCCATGTGGCGTGACACCTGAAGTTTGCAACTTCAAACGAGACCTGAAATTGCGAAACTCAATCATCTGTACCATGACCTATGATGAACTCATGGCATTGCACCCGAGACCCCAATTTTGGATTCCGTATGAAAGTGGGCGGAAAGAAGTGTAGTTTGGGCTTGTTAAAAAGTCCCATCTTTACACCTTCTAAGTCTGCATGTCATTCGAAAAACAGAAAATATCATGTCAATATTTTTTTTAATTATATTGTTGAATCCATTGGCATCACACATAATCATTGTTTATCACTGTCATGCGTTTTGTTGGATAATAATGGAAACTAAATTTTTGCTGTACCCATATGTCAATATGAATGAATGTAACCACTGACGTAGTAGCCTCGTTCTTAGTGACTTCCGGGATGGAAATATGCATATTTGACAGGTCGATAAATCGTTGCATTAAAATTTTATTGCTATCGATGTATTTTTGGGGAAAGTTAAGTGTAAATAAACATTTTGAAACACAAATTGAAAATCGTGTCATGTCTCCATTAAGCTGCCTTATGCCACCACCCTAGATTTGTGTTCTTCCCACTGAATAGTGTAAAAAGTGCTATTGTTATTATCTAGCTGGCTTATATGTTATTAATAACTAATTGGGTACTTTTTTCATACTTTCAATTCTGGAATACAAAAAATATGACCACAAAAACCTTAAATGATCGTCGAACCACCCAAAATTTTTGAAGTTGCACATAGGAAGTAGTGCTCAATAGAAATTCGTACGTAGTTTATTATCCCATGTGCTTTTGGCTAAGATGTCAAAGAACAATTGTATGAAATATTTCATCGCCGAAAATCTCTAATTACAAGTCGTTTACATTTCCCAAATGGCAAACGGCGCAGCAATATTGTTTATGTACACCAAATCTCTATGATAGAGGAAATAAAGTTATACATAGTAGTCTAAGTTGGCGATAAATTATTTTAACTTACACGAAACGTAAGCTAGTAAGTATTCTGATGTTATAAAGTAAGTTTTGTTTATCATGATCTTCTTTTCGTTTAAGAAGATTGTGATTAATCAATTAATTTCAATTAAATGTTTGCACATTTAAATTCCTTTCTTTTATTATATTATTCCGTTCATTGAACTTGCCAAATAAAGTTGTTGTTGTTTTCTTCTTTTCTTTTCTTCGTATCAGCTTCCTATTCTAAGGAACACCCCTTAACGGGTACTCTTAAAAAGTTCAATAGGGGTGGAAAAATTGTTTTATAAATGACAAAGATGAAAATCGACGTTGATCGGACCGTCTAAGAAGACAACTCGGACCACTTGTCAGATTTACTTAGGGTTTCATAAAATGTTAGACTAACATGTCTAGCGTAGCCACCAATCTTTCGTTTGTGCCTTGGGGTCTATTTAGGGGTGTTTTGAGGGGCCTAAAGAAGGGAGGGGTTTACAATAGAACCCTATGGGATTTTATTTTTTTTCAATTTTCAAATGACTATTACTTGAAAACAGTAAGTGATAGACACACACGGTCTTAACTAATAATAACAGGACAAGAGAACAAATCAAATAAAATATAGGGTGAGTCCCTGAGGGGTCATCCCACCCCCTTCAATTTGAAAATGTGCTTTTATCTAGTAAACGGTCGCGATCCCCACCCCTAAACCATATATATATACTTGTATGGGACAATAAAACAAATCAAATGAAATAAATGGTAAGTCCCCTGGGGACCACTCCCCCCCCCCCCCCCCCCCTTTTTGAGAACTTGTAAACGGTGAGATACCCAACCCTAAACCATATTTATTCCTGTTCGTCATTTCAAGGAGATTTGAATGACATACAAGGTCAATCTCCTAGGGGTCACATATGCATATCACTTTACTAGACCTAACCAATTTGTACTGGACTTTGCCCAATGTCAGGGGACCATGGGAATGAAGAATTATGGGAGCTCTGTTTGGAAGACCTCTTAACAGCATCCTGTTACAATTATTTCTTGTTTATTATAAAATTTAACTGATGCAAAAATAAGTCTAGGTTAATTGAATTTACTTTACTTATTTTTTGAATTATTTC